GGGGCCTAAACGCCGATCTTTTCGGCGTTTAGGGGGGGGGAGAGAGAGACTATGTGCTCAACACTTGATCAAGATCATTTCTTGTCCAGTTGAGTTGGAACATTTCAAAAGGTCTTCATCTTATCTTTACCTCCTGACACCCAGAGCCTCCTCACATTAAAGTCTGAGGGTTAGGTTACTTACACAGAATAATGCACAAATCACACATTCCTTCAGAACTACAGACGTGCTTAAGAAAAAGCAGCAACATGTAGAGCATGACGGCACCGGTATCTTCATTCCTGAGGACCGCAAACATCGAAACGATAAACGAAATCTACTCCACCGACTGAATAACTTAATTTGTTTAAAGCTAAAAGCCATTTCTGTTGGAGATTATTTACCTTTATAGAAAATGCGATACTGACAGCAATGGATACCAGCATTTTGTGTTTGCTATTTAATTGTTGTTATCATTAAACACAGGAAAAGTGAAACCAGAACTCACAAAATGTTGACAGTTGTTCAATCTAGTCCCACTCAACCGTTATGGTTTATTGCTTCTTTATTTCCCAAAAGCTATCACATATACCCATTCAGTTTTAGTGACACTTCATTCGTATCGATGCCGAATACAAATCTGTCCACCCACTGTTGGATTTCTCTGCCAACAGCATGACTTTGGTGCATTTGCTGATTCATCCACCGCGTAGTAAAGAGACACAGTGTAATGACGGAGTCTTACCCTTTGGGATGCCCTGTGTATTTGTCACATAGGATGGTGACTCTGTTTACTGAACCACAGCCATGAAAGTGAGCTTCAAGCTCTTCTGCCGTGGCCCCGTAGTCCACCTGAAGAAAGACAGGGGGAGAGGTTCGACATGAAGAGAGCTGCACCCACACATCCTGGACCAGGAATCTAATTTAGATTTATACGTCACTTTAATGTACTAAATCAGACAGACTGAAACGAAAACAACAAATACCGCATTCGTTTTAAGTAAACAGACTGAGACATTTAACAATATTAAATAAAAAAACAACACCAAGAGCAATGTTAAGTATGGTGCCCCCCCCCCCCCCCCAAAAAAAAAAGGTTAGCCTAAATAAAAAAAACACAATCATTGTTAAATATGAATACAAATGTGAGCGAAACTGACGATCCTTTGGGTTCAGTAAAGGTAATTCTTGACTCTTTGAACACCCAAACAATGAACTTTGGGACGTATTTTACTGCAAGACCACAACCCAATGATCATGGCAAAGCTACAAAGTAATGACATACGTTACATAAAACATCTTTAAAGGGGATTTCAATACTTAAAAACAATATTACAGTCCTGGAGTAACAACAACCTAAATGCAATCAAGCTTTTTTTTGCAGACTTGAAAATGAAACCAATAAAACATTGCAAAAGGACCAAAGGGGTGAAATTTATAGGAACTTTACGATTCGGTGTCGAACCGTTTCTTTAAAAATATGATCATTTTCTTTGAGGTCCACCTGATGTGAACAGAATGACATCTATACGAGACAAGTACTTACGTTTCCGACATAAATAGATCTGCCATCCGCTTCCATCTTTTCCTCGATGGACATGATGACTGGACCGACTGCAGTGTAGAGAGGCAGAAAACACATCGGAGTAAGCCACTAAATGTCCCCGACTGAGTATTTACACTCTTTTGCTCATTGACTGACTGCGTTATTTTAACATTTTTTAACAGTATTATAAATAGACTGATATTCATACCAAAATATGCTATATCATGATTTATTAGGGAACAATTCTATGTTAATCATATAAAACAAAAATGTCTTGTATTATTTTGGTATTATCATTCCTATAATAAATACACAAATGAATTAGGAAGTTGAGCATTAGGTAATAGACCTATTCATTTATACAGCTGAATTGACTCTTCCAATGCTGTAGTCTCTTATTAATACTCTATTGTTGCATTAATAAATTGTTCAGCCATAAAACAAACATGCTGTATCAAACCAGCTCTTGCAACTACAGAGTTAGATGGCTTATTCTAACCTTAAATTTACTTTAAAGGCAGCTTTCTATTCATAGCATATTAGCACAAGGACTTGGTTTTGACATGTGGATGGTTTTCTAATAATTCCGTGCACTACACTTATAACCAAGTACCGATCTAAACATATTTCACTGTATATTTTAATAATCTTTTAGTTTGAGGTCACTGGTTGAATGTGGAAGGGTTACGTTGTTATTTACATCGTGAGATTAAATTTGTGTTTTTTGAAGAAGGCACAAAAACAGAGGATTGAAATATTTTAAGATTATTCTCATTCATTAGGTAATAGGACAGTAAAGAGGAGGATAGGAAATGTGGACAGACGGGGAGAAACAAGATGTACCCCTCCCACATAAATCCACACACTAACGCACCTGGTGGGGGGCTGAGATTCATCTGTTTCTCCACCTCGTTCTGGAGCTCCTTCAGCTTCTCGGCTTCTTCCTCCATCTCTCTAACCCGGGCTTTGATTGCCTCCAGCTCCTGCAACACACACAACAATTCCATTAGAGCAGTCAGTCCATCACGAGCATGATACAACACAGTGAAACATTAACCACAAATGCTATAATCACATGATGTGGATGACAGTTCTGCCACACTGACCAACTCCCAAAACTAGCCATGGAAATGTAATCATTAACCAATGTGGCCATAACACCCCTTTGCAAACAACAGGAGGAGGGCAGGGCAGCAAGGAGATGCTGAATCTGTGTATGTGATGGTGCGTGCGTCGTTTCTGCCCAAAAGGAAACACACACTCTGTCTGACTGGTCCTTAGCCTTTTATGTACACGTTTAGACAGTGTTATCGACCAAAACGTCTTAATTTGGCATTAGCTGCCGCCTACAACTTGAAAGTTTACCTTAAAGCCATTTGAAAAATGTGCCTCATCTGGTCATGATATGCTTGAGTGGTATTCAAAATATAATGGGCACACAAAATTGATGAATCAGTAAGACACGCTCAGTGTACAAATTTCCTGTCATCTCTCAATGACTATGAAGCAAATGTTCAGAAACGACATTACACAGATACAAAGAACCCAAATGATGAGTCAACATATTGGTAAACACAGGCTGTAAATACTAATTCCAAGACATTTATCATGTACACACGCACCCATACCAGGAATGTGCTTATTTCTCTCTGTTATAACAACTAAATTACTATGGGCTCATGCACCAGATGGTTAACATTTGCTCTAAATATACTTTGACACCGAACACGTCGATAGATAATTTGAAAATTTACCAACAGGAAAATTGATTCGCTGCAGCTCTACTTCAACTGAAAATCAATAAAGAGCCTTTTTGGAAACTGTAAATGTATTTGGGGGAGTGACGATGATCGGGTCCAACGAATAAAGACTGCGAAACCCACAAAACCACCACTGTCGGAAAAAATGTCTCGTTCCTCCAGTGAACAGAGAGATGGCCATGTCCTCACATGGGAGCGGACCCTCCTGTCTAACAGTGGTGCACTGCAGCACAGTGGGAGTCATTCCAGCTCCATCCCGGGCCGTTGCCTGTGCTGACAGGGTTCGCAATGTAAAGGCTCTTTGTGCCACTGGGTGCAGTGACACAGACACCCCATATTAAATGCAGGTCCTCGGACCAGAGCGAGGGTGACTGCGTGGGGACACACCGCATTTGATGACAATGGCACCATCGTTTCTCAGCCCTCCCAATCTTCAGCCACACGATCATTGGGTATGTCGTGATCATAGAAGAGCAAGTGATCCACCTTCACAGCAAGATTGTTAAAAAACATAAAATAAGCCATCCGACAATGACACCTTGTAGCTACTATATATTTTTGTCGCATATTCTGTGCATGCTCCTTCACGCTCTAGTAAAACATTGAAGGATGCAAACCCAGCCCCTCAAATACCGCAACCCCCTGCTTCTGCGTTGCATTCCGCGCTCTCTTAATACCGACAGACAGAAGGTTAGCACACCCTCACAACTCTGGACTTGCTGCATAGACCTCATCAGTGAATATGCACGAGTGTGCAGGTATTGGGAACATTTTAATTAGGCCGACTAACGCCAATCGTGCATCCTCGAACCACCACAGCGTTACAGCGAACCCCACGTCCCACTGATGTGCGATGCCAACCATTGTCCAGAATGAATGACAAAGATGATCAGCTGCACGTCTGTCATCTCCACCCCAGCTTTGTTAACATCTGCTAGCGTGTTAGCATGCCAGGGTGCTGTTAGCCCATCAGGCTAATAACCGTTTACGGTGCCCATTCCACATTTTATCTCGTGGACTAGTGATCACGGTCGACGTGTCCTCTGGTCATTTTAACTGCAGCACTTGAGTGTTGGAGCTTTGGGATAAGCTAATGTTAGCCTTCGGTCATTTTACAGGTGCACACACACACACACACACCGGTGACTGCAACAGACAGCACACTACTGAAGGTAAAATGAATAAAAGATGTTATTACCGTCAGCAGGGCGCCTTCTCGAGCAGTAGACTCGCACAGCGGCGGCTAATGGCGGCGGCCTGTCCTACCCTTGCCCCTGACTGTCTCCTGTATCGCAGTCTCGCATTTTTTTTTTTTTTTTTTTGAGACGAGGAATCCCCCCCCCCCTCCAACGGCTCGAGCTGCTCCCTGGCGCAGATAAACTGGCGCCGCTGTTGCGCCAAGATGGCTGCTGACACCACGCATGTCACCACCCATTTCTACTGCACTGCGTGAACCACAATGGCGGGTTTTAATACCGACCTAGCGATAGCAGTAACGTAACGTTGCACGGCATGTGACCAACGATTTGTAGAGGGGGAACACAAATAACAAATAGCGTTGCCTGCTTCCGCTAACTTCTTGGTTTTGGCTATAACGTGTCCTGGTGCCATGTGGGCTCCCACAGCTGAAACAATGCCCTTCACTTACCGGGTCTTCGATTGCGGCCTCTCCGTCTTCTAATCCCGGTTCTTCGTCACCGACACCCGGGTCTTCCAGCTCGGGATGTCCGAGGTCTGAGTCTAGCAGGGATTCCTCCGCCAGTCCGTTACCGAACTCCGCCATCGCCCTGATCCAACTGTACCGACGCGCCTCGTGGCCAAACCAACGCACAGGCCCCTACTCACGCACAAGGGGGTAGAGTGAGCGCGGCGGCGGAAAGAAAAAAACGGCGGAAAACGCCGCTTAGAAAAGTTAAAATGGGGAATAAAATGCTAGCTACAGTTCCAGCCACTACTCAAACAGCACACCACGATGAACAAGGACTGCTGTTTCACCCACTACCTTAAAGCAGCGGTCCTAGTTTACGACAGAGAACCTAGTTTATTTACTTAAATGAGTATATAAAAAAAAAAGGCGAGGACTCTACGCGAGAGCGGCCGCGTCCCTTCAGTTCAGAAATGGAAGCTGGGGGCGGAGTCAAGTATCACTGCGGGCGTACAACTCTCAATCCTATTGGTCAGTGGAGGATTCTAGACAAACCTCTCCGATGTCTGCCGCCTTCCTATTGGATGGTTGTACAAGACTTTCCGGTTCCCAAATCGCATGTATGCTTTTAATTGGATTACGTTTCTGTCAATCACATCCCTGTCAATGGTAAGTAAACCGGCAAAGCCAATTGTTTAGCAAATGAATTCCAGGCACATTTGAGTGTGTCATATGACTTATCTCATACAGTGTGACCTAAGTGACCTTTATTTAAAATATGCCACTCAAGTAAAAGATGTTTATCTTTATATCAATTATTTAAACCTGTCACATACAAGAAAAAGTAGAAACAAATACCCCATTTCAAAGTTATATATTTCCCCCAAAGATTGATTTAAAAGCATTTTGCGACAGAACTCTTCTCTATTTACACACCCAGGTCTGCTTCTTGCGCAGCAATCAGACAGATATGCTTTGTTGTTCAACTGATTTTATTTGTTTTTCTGTATATCAAAGAAAGCATAATGGAGACCAAACACAAAAAGGCAGGTACAAGTGAGGAGGAAAAAGAATAAGCTTAATCAAAAATCTAACAATTCATAACAACACTGCCACTATTATTGTTCAATATTCATAGGAATACCATATTGTATATGAGCAGAGAGGTGGCATTTAAAACCATTATGGATCAATAATAATCAAAAACAGTGATGGGTAGTAATGATAAATTGTATAAGTAGTAGTACAGATATAACAATAGTGATAATCAAAGTGACAATGAAACATAAGAGAATAAAAAGCAGATCTCCATAAAAACCTATCTAGTTTGGACAGTGCAACACCGTGTCTGTGTGTGTGCGTGTGTGTAATCCCAGTCTTGGAAGTTAAAGCACTCCAGTCCTTCGCTTTACACACAAGATACAGTTTCCAACAGAGTACAAATTATTACTCATGAAAGGACATGGTTAACCCTCCTCGTTTCAAAAAACACACCAAGTGACTCTTAATGCCATGTTAATGGCTGTGTTCGTTTGAAATGTCTGTAGCTTGTGCAAAAAAATTGTGTGGACTAGTGCAAGTGTCAAGCCGTGGGACGTCCTTTACAGTTTGCATTTTACGAACACCTCTCCTGCTCTCTGTCGACCTCAGGATTGCTTTTTGGTTTTTGAATGACAGAAAGCAAAGGGAGGATTACTTTGGAATATCAGTTATTTTTTTAATATATTTCTTTACAAAAGTTCATGTTTTAGTTTTGCATTTTGTTAAAACTATCAATAGTAACATTAATATACAACTTAAATTGAAGGAAAACATCTTTAGTATGTTAAGTGTCCTTCAACACAGCACCATCTTATTAGCTCTCAGTCAACACGTTTAATGTTTCCTAATTTGCTCTCAAGAGCCGAGTATTCGTTAGTCCCTTGAGGATACTAGTAATACCCAACTTTCTCCCTTGTCATGGTTTCCAGATATGAGATCTCATTTCACAGCACGTACATTTCCAGAATTAGTAACTCTGTATCAAAACGAGGGGGGGGGGGGGTGTGTAAGGGAAACTGCCCATTTCAAGCCCTGTTCTCTTCATATTTCTAGAGGCTTGGCTTTTGACCTAAATTAAAAAAAAAAAAAGTCTGTTACACCAGTTTTTAATTGCTTATAATTGGCATTTATATAAATATTGAAGCAAATAAATTGAGTATCTTTCCTGTCTTATGCACAGTATGTATGGCAAGGGAAAACCGTAAATTGACGAATTTGGTCTGACCCACCATGCAAGGCGAGGGTGAAATTAATTACATTATACAAGGATCACATGGGCTTGAATCCAGATACCTGGTGGCATATCTTCTTAAGGCGGTCTTATTCGTAACACACCCACAGCATGTGAAAACATTTATTTTTCCCCCTACAGGTTTGAAGAGCTGCATTTCAAAATGAGATATAGACCATTTGGAGGGAAAGTGAAATCCACAGGATCGAAGTAATTTGTAATAAAAACAAGATAGTTGGTAATTATGTAATTATAGTCCTTGGCCAAGAGGACGCTGGCAACTTTACAGGCAGGATTTGCTATGTTCTAGGTACAGAATATAACATTCAGATATTTCCCCCAAAAAGATTGATATAAAAGCATTTTGCAACAGAACTCTTCATTACATACCCAGGTCTGCTTCTTGCACAATTATGCTCACACCTAAAGCATGTTTTATTGACTAGCAAAAATCAATTTATTTCACGTAATTTATATTAAGGCATCCATCATGCATTATTGTATCTTTCCATAAAAAAGACACTTGCATTAGAATGCTTAAAAACATTTCAAACAATGTAAAATGTGTCAAAGTGCGGTATGCCAAGACTCTACGTTCCTCAGCCTCTCTTTTTGCCCTGTCTATTAGGATTGTCGTGAAAACTATGAACATGTAAATGGGGACAATTCAACAGCCCTATTCTCTCTAAAGTACCTTTTTTTTTTTTTTTTTTAAATCCCAAATGAGTGGACACAACACTCTTCAGATCACACTCCTGTAGAAAATAAAAAAGGTGACAGTTAATACCAGGTCCTCCTCTCCCAATGGTTCAGTCCAGTTATATTATATCCAAACAACCTTTGCCCGAGAAGTGAAAGAAATACATTTCCACAGGAGAAAACTGGGAGTTATTTCATGTTATTATCCCAGAAAACTTCCAGGCCTTCTGACAAATGGCCACTTCCAAAGAGGAAACACGTTTGCATTAGTCTTCAGGATAGCACAGTTCAAGCATGGCAAGTTGAGTGCCTTTACAAATTATAGGAAGGTCTCTCTCGCGCGCGCGCGCGCGCACACACACACACACACACACACACACACACACACACACACACACACACACACA